GGAATGCAGTGGTGTGATCACAACTCACCACAGCTTCCATTTCCTGGGCTCCAGTGATTTCCCTGCTTTGGCCTCCTGAGGAGCTGGGACCTCAGGTGCCTGCCACCACACCTGGCTATTAATTTCTTTTTTTGTAGAGATGAGGTTTCTGTTGCTTAGGCTGGGGTGCAGTGGTGCCCTCACATTTCACGGCATCCCTAACCTCCTAGGTTCAAGGGATCCTGCTGCCTTGGTCTCCAAAGTGCTGGGACCGCAAGTGTGAGCCACAACGCCTGCCTGGACCTCCTTTTATCTCCTCCAGACACATAAGGTCTACCTGGGCCCCAGACTGCTCTCCCCTTCCTCATGGGAATTCCTCAGGAATCAGATAACTGAGATTATACATAGCAATATGGGCAGGACATTCTCAAATAATTTCTTCCAGCAATGAAAGGGCAGAACCTTTCAGACTGTCGAAGTTGACAGACAATCTGTCTTCACTTCTAAATGTCCCCTAAGAAGAACAAACCTGTTATACTCTGGCCAACACACTTCCATGGAAGTGAAATAATGAAATCTGACCCAAATGTCAAACCCTGATATGTCTTGGAATTTAACAAAGGATGGAGCAGACGCAGTGGAGGGAAGGAACACCCAGGAAACTTTCTTCTGGTAGCTCAACCAGAAGCTACGTTCCTGCATTTCACGTAGACGGTAGACCCCGATGCTCCCCATGTGCATGGAATCCACACCGGAAAAAATAGTCCAGGCCAGAAAGAGGCCACTCACAGCTAACATGGAGCATTCCCCATCCGCTGGCTTTCAAACCTGCTGAAGCGAACATTTCAGAAAGGAAATAGAGCAGAGCCAAATTCCCCAGCCATGTGAAAACCGAGAGGGAGAGGCTTTCAGCCCCAGAGGACCCTAACCCCGGCTGGCTCCTGCTGCTGGCCTGCCACCACATGACTCTCAGCCTCTGGACTGGGCTTCCTCAGGCTGCGGGATGCCCCCAGATTGAACTGACCTGCTTCCCAGCAAAGCCCAGCAAGTTCCAGCAAGTTCTTGTCGTCTGCCTGGTAGACCTGCCTCTGAGCCATGTTTGAGGATTCTCTTGTGCATGGGGAATGGGACTGAGGGTTCTAATGTCTGTGCTTTCAGCTAGGAAAGTTATTAATGGAAATAGCTAACTTTTAGCTTGTAGTCCCAGCTACTCAGGAGGATCACGTGGGCCCAGGAGTTCAAGTTGCAGTGAGCTTTGATCAAGCCACTGCGCTCTAGCTAGCCCTGGTGACAAAGAGAGATACTGTCTCTAATTAAAAAAAAAAAAAAGAAAAGAAAAGAAATAGCTAACACAGATAACTTACTAAGCCTCAGGCACTTTATGTACATTGAAAACATTTAATTCATATGAGACAGGGACTCTTACCAGCATTTTACCAATGAAGAAACTGAGGCTGATTTCTACTTTAAAAACAAACAAACAGGCTGGGCACAGTGGCTCATGCCTGTAATCCCAGTATTTCGGGAGGCTGAGGTGGGAGTATTGTGTGAAGCCAGGAGTTTGAAACCAGCCTGGGCAACATAGTGAGACCCCATCTCTACAAAAATACTTAAAAAATTAGCCAGCATGGTGGCGCATGCCAGTGGTGCCAGCTACTCAGGAGGCTGGGGCAGGAGGTTCTCTTGAGGCCAGGAGTTTGAGGCTGCAGCGAGCCATGATCACACCACTGCACTCCAGCCTGGGCAACAGAGCATGACTCTGTCTCAAAAAAAACCAAAAGCAAAATCTTTGCAGGTAAATACTGGAATGAGTGTGGCTCTTTGAGCTCAGAACGCCTTCTATTAAATTATCATTTGATAAGGCCTGGTAAGAATAGATTCCTTCTTGGAATGTGTCTTCTGTGGAAATAAGACACAAAAGGGTGGAGATGTCAGCTTCAAGAGTGCTGAGGGCCACATTCTGGAAGCAAATGTCACCGCATCCATGATGCCCAGACCCGGGCCAGCAGCCGAAGCGGAAGCTGCTCCCTCCCTCCTCCTCTTTCCCCGCAGGCCTGAGCCAGCGCTGGGAGCCCACCCTTCCCCTCCGAGCGGCTTCCTGCCTCCCCACTTCCTTATTGGCTGCTTCCCGGGAGAGTGCTGTGGTTTGGGCTGTTTGCGTCTCCAAGGGGATGGGTGATTTATAACCTTTTATTCAGCAAACAGCTTTCTATAGAACGAATGCCACTTGCTAAATGTCAGCAGGCGGGGGCAGGGGAGCCGTACAGAATCCCAATGAAGCCTTCCAGGCCTGGGCCAAATGGCACCTGGCGACTCAGTGTGGTGTTTTCTCTGGCGGGAGTGAGGAAGAGACAGTGATTCTAAAATCCAGGCTGGCTGGCCATCGTGGCCCACCTCCCCTGCTCGTGCCTGCTGCTTCCTGTTTCTCCTTCTCCTTTGCAGGAGAGAGCCCTCTCCACCTCGGAGAGAAGCCAGGCAGTCAGCGGCCTATGGACTTTGGGCAGGGGCTCCTTTCTGTGGCGCTGAGTCAGCATGCTAGGGCCTCCAGGACCCAGCCTGCAGGGCCACAGAATCAAGCATGAGGGATTGCGGCTTTCACTGGTGTGCATCGGGGCTCAGCTCTGCACTCAACCCTGTGGCTTGAGACCCCTGTCTCCACTCTCTTTCCATGCTCCTCCTCACCTCTCCCCATGCACACCTGGGTCCATAAGTTCCCTGAGACTGTGAGCCATGCCTCTTCGCACACACATACACACTAACACGGGTGCCCAGCGTGGCCCCTTTCTCAACACACAACAGCTATTCAATGTTTGTTGAATGAATAACAAACTACCAACTCATTCCCCCATGATCCCTGACACCCCGGCACTGCCCTGGCACCTGCGGGCTGCTCTGGCAGATGACAAAGCCTGCCCCAGTGTTTAGGGCAGTGGTACCAATGCACTAAGAGATGGAAAAGGTGGGAGATTCACAGGACTTGGAGGAACCTTCACAAGCACATTGCCCAACGCTCTCATTTTACAGATGAGGAAACCGAGGCCTAGAGAGGTGACCTGCCAAAGCTATACAGCACAGAAGAGCAGAGCCTGAGCCCAGCCATTTCTCCTATCTCACCATGCTGCCTCTTCTCACTGGAAGAGTGCACCAAGGTGGGTGTCTGGCCCGTAGCCATCCCAAGGCTGATCCCTGCCGAAGGGGGTTAGCCCAGCCCCCAGCCTGGCTCCCCTCCTCAGCACAGGCTGCAGCCACTGCTCCAAGCCTCCAGCCCACAGCCCACACACCCCGTCTCCCAGGGAGGAGGGCAATTAGTTTTCATTGTGCACTCAGCATCACCAGGGCTGGAGGAAAACTGTGTTCCCAGCCCTTCAGATCAATGTGGGCCCCACAGGTTAGAATTCAGGGTGCAGGCCAAATGGGGACCGGGAAAGAAAACAGACAACAGTCAGGGCCTGTGGGTGAAGCCAGAGAGACATAGCAGGGAGCCCTGGGGCAACCGGGCCAGTACCTCACCCTGGCTTCGGGAGGAATGGACCAGACAGCAGTGCATGAAAGCCAGAGAGATGAGCCAGCGAGGGGACACAGAAAAGGAAGGGCATGAGGAAATGCCATCTTTCCCCTTCTACGACCTGGATGTGCCCTGGATTCCTGTATCACCTCCACAGGCCCTCACAGCAGTGCCGGGGAAGGGAAGGGAAGCTGGAGGGTGAAGAGAAAGGAGGTGAAAGGGAGGCACTGCCTATGATTGGCTCTCTTTCCTCTTTGAGGTGCGCAGAGCATCTCCACCGGCAGCTCTAGGAGGGATGTACATTGTCAAAAGCCACCAAGAGTCAAGAACTCAGTCTGCCCAGCTGAGGGCAATGCAGGGATTTCAAGGTCCCCACACAGACGCCAGTCCTCGCGCTTCTTAATGCACTGTCAGACAACAGCCACGTCGGGGGATTTAGAAATGTGATGGAGATTTCACAGTGCAACGGGTCCAGCCTTCATAACCCAGCACCGCTCTGCAGAAATGGAAACGCAGGCCCAGAGGACCGGGGCTTCTCCGCGTGGGCACACAGCACCAAGATGGCTCCATAAATGGAAGCTAAATCTCTGAGGTCCCACTCCAGGGACGCTGACCACTGGGTGGGTGACTCCCTGAGGGTCCCAACCCTCTCTGGCAGTCCCTTGCTGCTCCAGGGGTGAGTACAAAAGGAAGAGCCTCTCCCAGGGCCTCCGGGGAGACACGTCTGCTGACTGTCCCCAAGGAGAAAGCGGGAAGAGAAAAGAGGGAGGATACCTGCAGCATGGTGACCGTCAAGAAGGAAGCCAGTCTAGGGGACTACTGGAAGGCAGAAAGAACTGGGGGCATGGTACGGGCCGAAGCAGATGTCCCAGGGGAGGAGTCACTCAGGACAAGGCGTGAGTGTGAAGAGACTCTTGCCTGTCCACACAATCAGAGCTGAGTGGGGGCAAAGGCACCCCCTTGAGGACCCCACCCTGCCTTTAAAAGAGTTTTTCTTTGGTCACGATTTTGTTGATTGATTTCTCTGTATGGAATTGTAGTATTTCCTTGATCTAAAACCCTCAGTCTAGCCCCTTCTTTTTTCTGCCTCACATTTTGCCTCCAGTGATGTGAAAATAAACTTGGGGAATGGGAAGGCCCTGGGGGAAGGAGGCTGAGGGGCTCTTCACTAGGCAGAGATGAACCCCAGTGCTGACACAAGCCCCTTCCTTTTCCTGGTTTCTCTTACCCTGGAGGGCGGCAGGGAGAAAAGGCTTTGTGCCTCGTTGGACCATTTCTGTACCCCTGGTGCCTCATCTGGAGCCTGGAGCGAACTCAATCAATGACTCCAAGGGGACACAGGGCTCTGTCCCACTGGGGTGATGTGCTAAAGAGGGGATTCTGGTTCCTGTGGCCAATCTGGAAGCTGGAAGCTGTTAGAACTGGAGTGAGGATTTCACCAGGGAGCTCACAGAGAGAGCTGGGGCAGGTGGGGCGTGGAAAGGAGTGGGGGCAGCCTGGAGCGCGGGGTACTCACTCCAGCACGTCACGGTTGAACTGCTTCTTGCTGTTGCCCAGGAACTCTCCAATCATCTGGCGGCTGAGGCCCTTTCGCTGGAGGAGGAAATGGGCCACACCAATGGGGGTGTCAGGGATGAAGCCGCGGGAGATGAGGAACTGGATGCCCTTGTCTGGATTTCTGCAGGTGGGGTGGGGAGAAGCAGTAGAGAGTGAGCTGAAGCCATCCATGACTCTTTCTTCCATCTTCCACCCACAGAAGTGCCCAGAGACTCTTGGAAATCCAGTTCCCTATTGGAAGCATCTCTCACCAAAGCCTCAACCCCCTGAACGTCCTCACATAGAGGATGGTGTGTGACCAGAAAGAGGACGGGGTAGATCTGGAAGCAAAATGAATCCCAGAGCAGGTGGAGGAGAAATGCCCTTCTCTGTACCTGCTTCCTGGGTCTTACCCCGGGCCTGCCCCTCCCCCTACCCATATCCTGTTGTCAGTATGCAGGTCCCCACTGCAGACTCCCTGACCCTGGAGAGAGGGTGGAAGAAACAGAGGTGAGCTCTCCACCACACCCCGTCTTCCCTTTCAAGCTTTGCGGCCATGCTGCTCCCTGAGCTGTTTCTCACTGGTCTAGGAGATAAGCACAGAAACACAGCCTAGTGCTCAGAACCTCTCATAACGCTTTGACATTTCCGGGACAACGAGGCATGTGATTGTTTTTCTAGCAACCCATTTTTATTGCGATTTACAAAAGTATTAGCCCACAATGTATTTTCAGGAGGGTGTGGGGGAACGAAACTGGTCGTGCATTATGGATAGTTGAAGAACGACTGTCTTGAGGGAGATGAGTATCTGCATGAATTTTCACGTGCGTGCAGAAGTGCCACTATGGAGGGGCATGGTTTGGAGTCAGATCCGCCTTCCCCTTGGTCTGTGGATTACTAGCTATCTCATTGTGTGCAACTCGCCTTACTGGTGTGAGTTAACAGCACGGTAATGCCTCTGTTAGATACTGTTGGGAAGATTACGGATGCTTTACGTAAGGCGAGCTATGAACAGTAGCTACTTTTCCTAGACTAGGAGCCCCTTGAGGCCAGGGGATGTGTCCTACTTACCTCTGTGGTCACAGTGCCTGGCACCCAATAAATAACAGCTGAATGAATGAATGACCAACCATTGAGGCAGCAGAGATGTGCTCTTGGCTTCAGCGTATGAAGGAAGTGAGTGGAGGATGGAGACCAGTGCCTCCTGGACTTTACATTTCCACAGGAGGGGCAGGTATGCTTCCTTACCTCTGTACACATTTGGGGCAGGACCTGTCCCGGTCTCGTTGTGGTCTCTGAGCTATGGCAGTCAGTCATTTCTCCCCGGTTCTCTTTCTACTCTGCCTCTGCCTGCTTCACACTCTCTCTTCCACGTAGCCACCCCCTCAAACCTCCCCGCCCCCCCACCCCCCCACCGCCCCACTCCCCCCAACCCTCATCCTGCTCTCTGCTGGCATTCTTTACAAGGGGCCTTTCCTCCCTCCCCGACCCAGCCCCGCATTTCATCAACCCAGGGAGCTAATGCGGTTTCCCTGGCTTCCTATTCCACCCGAATGATTGCTGCCCAATCCTCAAACTGCCTGGACTGTTATTTACTTAGTACTGTCTTTTCTTTTACATTTTCTGCATGTTAAACTGTAAGTTGTGAAAGCATGTGTTAGATGTGTTATCTTTTCCTTTAATCTTACTTTTAAAATAAACTCAGAATGGTTAAAAATAAAATGCGTACTTCCTAAACATGACCTCGGGTATCAGGCACCGCACAGATGAGCCTGGAGGACCCTGGGATGCTGTGGGAAGTTATCTGGCGCCCTGCTTGGTGGAGGGGAGGTGCCCCTCCTCTTTCCCTCCCTCCCAGGACGCTGAGGCCAGGGCTCACTTACATGTTGAAGAGGTTGAGGCCAATGCGATAAAGGCGCTTGCGCAGGGTGTCGGTGGAGAGCGTGGGCGACTTGCAGCTGGCTGGGTTCTCGCAGTGGTAGCGCGGCAAGCTCAGGATCATGGCCTGCAGGGCCTCTTTGGAGGCGGAGGCCGACACCTCCGAGCCCGACTTGGCAGACTTGGTGGGCATGCTGCTGCTGCTCAGCTGCTCCAAGTCACCTGCCTCAGCCTCAGCCCCTTTCCCCACCTCTGTTGCCTCCTCCTCCTCTGCTTTGGCTGCTGTGGCTTCATCCACCACCCCACTAGCCCCAGCCTCTGTGCCCGTGTCCTCCGCTGACACGTCCCCCTGGCCCAGGGCGTGGGCTTCCAGGGCCTCCTGCTCCGGGGTCTCGCCCTGCTCAGCCTTGCCTGCGGCGGGCTCTGCTGTGGTCTGGGCCGTCTGTGCGCCCAGGCAGTTGGCTACGGACAGAGCCGTGGAGGAGGAAACGGAGATGTTCTGGTTGGCGATCTGTACCGTGACGTCCCGGAAAGCCATCATGAGGGTGCCACCGTGGCCCGGGGGCAGGCCGGGGGTCTCCGTGGCCTCATCCCCAGGCCCGGGGCCTGCGCTCTCCGGCTCCCGCATCTCTGCCTCCAGGCCTGAGGTCCCCGCGGCCGCCTGCAGGGCCTGGTGGAGCTGGTAAGCGCCGCTCTCCTGCAGGGAGCACATGGTCTTGAGGCTCCAGGTGCTGAGCGCGTCATCGATGGACTTGGCCAGGGATTGCACCTGCTCGGTGAAAGAGTCCTCCAGCTCAGTGAGGGTACCCGCGAAGGTGGGCGGCAAGGACGGCGAACGCACCAGGGGCAGTCCCATGAGGCCGTAGCCTTCCATGAGCGCTTTCTCCGCCGCCAGGCTCTCAGCGGTGGGTGCCCGCACCTTGCGCAGGGAGATCCGCCGTGGCAGGCGGCTCTCCAGGAGTGAATTGCGGATTTTCTCGAAGTTCTTGCTGAGCTGGTATTGGCGGAAGGCGGTTTGGATGGTGCAAGCGGCGCGCCGGGACACGAGGTGGCCCCCGTACTTGTGTTCTAGCATTTCAATCTGCAAGAACAAGGACAGAGAGGAGGAAGGGCTCAGAAGGGAAGGGTGGTCAACCCTTCTGAGGGGTGGCAAAGTCACCCGGCCAAAATTGGGCGGAGCTTAAGATGCACAGAGCTGGGCTCCGGACTGCACGGTTCGGGGGCACAGGAATGCACAGTACGGGGTGGCGGGGGCGGGGGGGTTCCGGAATGCACACTGCGGAGGCGGGCTCCGGAATGCACGCTGCTCCGGAATGCACAGTGCGGGGGGCAGACCCCAGAATACACAGTGCATGGGGGTCCGGAATGCACAGTGCGAGGCTCCAGAATGCACAGCGCAGGGCTCCGGGGCAGCTCAAGCCTGAACTGCCTAGGGTGTCATGGCCACAGGGCCCAGGTGCTTGGTAAGACTCCTAGAGGTGTAGGATGGAGGCTTCGGTTCTGGGGACTGGTAATGTCCCAAGGGCCAGAGAGAGGTGCTGTGTATGGTGGTCAGATTTTGATGCTGTGGCGGGTATTACAAAATGTTCACGGCCTGGCACACTAGCGCAGGCCTGTAATCCTAGCATCTTGGGAGGCTGAGGAGAGAGGATTGCTTGAGCTCCGGAGTTTGAGACCAGCCTAGGCAACATAGCTAGACCTTGTCTCTCTAAAAAAGAAAATTAACTGGGTGTCCTGGTGCACACCTGTGGTCCTCAGCTACTGGGAAGCCTGAGGTGGGAGGACTGCTTGAGCCCCAAGAGTTGGAGGTCGCAGTGAGCTATGATTGCACTACAGCACTCTAGCCTCGCCGGAAGAGCGAGATTTTGTGTCTATTTTTTTTTTAAGTTCATGTCAGAGATGCATACAGAAGTACTTCTGGGTGCAATGCATGGTATCTTGAATTTGTATTCTGTCAAAAATGTGGAACAGTTAGATGACACAATATTAATATTAATAAATAATAAAATGGTTAGAGCTCGATGATGGGAATTATAACACTGTTGTTTCTACTTTTGTGAAAACTTTAAAAATAATAAACAATGAAAAACAGAAATGCTAAAAAAAAAAACCTTCACGGCCCCTCCTGTTCCCCCACTCCTCCCTAGCAACCATGTCTCTGCATTGGGGTGGTTCTCTTTCCCTGTGAACATTAGAAGGGTTGAGATTGGGGTTGGACTGTCTCCCTTTTCCCGGTACATAGTAGGTGCTCAATGAATGTGGATTTGCTAAAAAGTTGACTGGATGTCCCAAGAATGGGGGTCCTTCCAGGCCACCATTATCAAGAGTTCTCCAAGTTGAGTCACCTCTGTTCTTTTGATGGGAGCTGTCCAAGCAGGGCAGGGCTGGGTGGGGTGAGCTTGGGGGCATGGCACCTCACCTGGCCAGATCTGATCCTAAGAAAACTTCTGTCAGGGGGCCAGTGTGCCTCCTCTCAGCTCTGTCCTCCTGTCCATGGGCTTTCTCCTCTCTGGTTGCTATGCTTTCACTTTTCCTCCCTATTGAAATCCCTCAGGAAAGGACTGGGAAGCTGCTGTCTTCCCTGACATCCAACCTTACCCTCGGAGTTGTTGGAACTTATGCAGATTAATGTGCGAATGGCGACTAAGGCTTCCTATATGGTTTCTCCCAAAGGTGCTTGCGTTTCACAAGGGAAAAGGCCCCGAGCAGGAGGAAGCTCTTGGTGCTGTCACAATCCCCCTGTTGGAGGGCTCTTCAAGGTGCTCTAAACCACACCAAGTGTATTCCTCATCTAGTGCTGTGTAACACATTACCACCAATCCAGCCACTTGAAGCAACACCTGTTTATTTGTCATAGCTCGGTGAGTCTAGTCTGGGTACAGCTCATCTGGGTTCTCTGCTCAAGATCTCACCAGACCGAAACCAGGATGTCAGTAGAGGCTGCAATAGCATCTAAGGTGTGGGGTCCTCCATCGAGCTCACTCTTTTTGGCACAATTCAGTTCCTTGCAATCACAGGACTTAGGCCCTCAGTCACTGGAGACTGCCTGCTGTTCCCTGCCATGTGGCCCTCTCCATAACCTGGTACCTCACTCCTTCGAGGCCAACAGGATAGTGTCTCTCTGGGGCTTCCACTTCATTTATAGGGCTAATCTATTACCTCAGACTCACCCTGGATGATGCTTCTTTTTATTAACTCAAAATCAACCGATTGGTAACCATCATGTTCACTCATCCTGCCCATACTCAAGGGAAGGGGATTACACAGGATGTGTGCACCAGTGTGGAGGGGACTCCATCTTAGAATTCTGCCCATGGTATGAATTGGACAGTTGCCCACTTGATCTTTACTCGGTATGACCTCACGCACCCGTAAGAGAAATAGATGCTTACTTCAGAGGCATTCTCTTCCTGCTCCTGCAGAAATAATGTAGTTTGCTCATTCTCCCTACTGAACTTTGACACGTTCCCTGAGGCCTGGAATGGGGACTTGGCCTTGGTTTAGGCAGGAAAGTCCTTCCCCCAAGGGAAAATACAGAGAGGAAGGGAATTGATCACCAAACTATCTCCTTTGTCAATTTCTGTCACCCCTACTCAAGCACCATGAGAAACTGATAGATTTCACATTTCTTTTTTTCTTTTTTTTTTTTTTTTTTTTTTTTGAGACGGAGTCTCGCCCTGTTGCCCAGGCTGGAGTGCAGTGGCACGATCTTAGCTCACCACAACGTCCACCTCCTGAGTTCAAGCGATTCTCCTGCCTCAGCCTCCTGAGTAGCTGGGATTACAGATACCCAACACTGTGCCTGGCTAATTTTTCTATTTTTTTAGTAGAGACTGGTTTTTGCTATGTTGACCGGGCTGGTCTTGAACTCATGACCTCCGGTGATCCACCCACCTCAGCCCCCCAAAGTGCTGGGATTACAGGCATGAGCCACCGTGCCTGGCCAGAGTTCACATTTCTTTCCCACCTGGCCTATCTGTACCTCTAGGGAAACCCCAGGCCCAAGAGCATTCTTTTTTTGGCATAAGATGCTATTGGCAACACAGGGAAGGTATGAAATCCATTGCTTGAGATGCTTCCAAAGTGGTGATGGGGTCCGCGCCCTTGACATGGCGTCATCCCGCTTGGAGGCAGAACACTGGCTGACGTAACCCTAGGAGGCTCCGTCTACTTATGGGCAATGTCTATGCTTCACTCAAGCAGGGAAGAATACCAGATTTAAAATTCTTGAATCTGTCCCATCACGTCCTCCACTAGACATCAAGCCCCACTAGGGCAGGTTTTGCCTGCCATGGTCACTGCTGTCTCCTCCAGCGCTTGGACAGTACCCAGCACATAGTAGGCCTCCAACGAGTATGTATTCGACAAATTAATTCCAAAGTTATATTTGTGACTCTCAAAAACCTTCCTAATCTGACCCACAGCCGGTGCTCTCCCACTCCTGGTTCCTTTGTGTGTTCAGCGCACCCTCCAGGTGCTCTTTTTAGTCCCATTTCCTTCTTCTCGTCTGCAGCTTTGCACCTGCCGGCAGATCCTCCCAGATCTCCCCAGGCCACAAAGTGACTCTGCGGACTCCCCTGCCTCTGGGGTACTAGCCCATTCCCTTTCTTCCTATTTCCCACCGAACCTCATGGAACACTACCCTCTGCCTCACACCAGGAGCAAATGCCAGATACTGACCCAACCTGGCTGCTCTGAGCCCTGTTGCCTGGCTCCTGCTCCTGTGAACTCTGGCCAGGCCCGGTGGCTCACACCTGTAATCCCAGCACTTTGGGAGGCTGAGGCGGGTGGATCACCGGAGGTCATGAGTTCAAGACCAGCCTGGTCAACATAGCAAAAACCAGTCTCTACTAAAAAAATAGAAAAATTAGCCAGGCACAGTGTTGGGTATCTGTAATCCCAGCTACTCAGGAGGCTGAGGCAGGAGAATCGCTTGAACTCGGGAGGCGGAGGTTGTGGTGAGCTAAGATCGTGCCACTGCACTCCAAGGGTGCTCAGGACGAGACACGTTCATCTGAGGCCAACCAGCAGGGAAGAGACAGATCTAGGGCTTGCCGCTCAGTCCCACAGCCCTCCTCAGACTCCCTCCCCACTCCTTTCTGCAACTCTCCTGAGCGTCCATGACTCAGTCTATCCTGGTTGTCCTGTCTCCCTACAACCCCTTCATCCTGTGTTCTGGCCATAAAACCCCTACATGCGCTGATTACAAGTCACATGGATAGTACTGCCAGTCTCACACGCGTTTTAATTTTCCCCATACACTCTGGACCTCGTCCATGGCTTCTGTGTTGGACGTCTTCAGAGGAGCCCGTGACAAGTGATAATTAACAATGAATTAAGAGGGGAACTGTGTCAGGCAGAGCCTTCTGGGCCACTGTAAATGCGCTGCCCAGGCTGATACTTTCTCAGCCCCATCTGCCTTCCCTCTGAGGACCTGGTCCACTCTCTTAACTTCACTGTACTTGGATGGGCTGATGAGCAGGTGGCAAATAAGGGGAATGCCCAGCCCCAGATCCCTGCTAACTGGCCTTGGATGAATTTCACATCTCAGACTCTCAGTTTTCATATCTATTAAGTGGGGTTTATCCTGCCGACCCTGTATCTTCTTGTGAGCATTAAATTATTTCATGCAGCACCCAGCACAGAGCAGGAGCTTAATAAGTGGTAGCTTTTTAAAGTGACAGTGATAATGATGGGAATGACTCCCAAGCCTCCATTCCTAGCCTTGATCCTAGACCCGCATTTCCAACAGCCTGCGGATCCTCTGTCCATCCAGACTCAGCCACTGTTTTCCGACCTCACCCAAACCAGCTCTTGCTGACTTCCTTATCGGCCTGACGAGCACCCAGCCTGGAAGCTTGCCTTGTCCTGGGCTCTCGTTTGCCCTGTCCACTACGTAGCTCCTGCCCAGCGCCGCCTCCCCATACCTTTTGCAATCATCCATGATCTTCCTTCCAGAATGTCACCACGTAGGGCTCTTGGGCTTCCCACTTGGACCACGCCAGCAGCATCCTCATGACTCCCACTGTGACCTTACACTGCAGAACCAGCGCCAAGCTCTCACAGAGCAGGTGTCAACAC